ATGGTTGGGGGCGGGGGGGTCGTGTCGTCAGATCTCCACTCCCCATCCTGTCTTGGAGCCCCTGGCGCCTCCCCACGATGGCCGAGGTGGGCTCCCCGCCGTGACGGCTTCTGGGCTTGATCCCGGCAGGCTTGAAGCGGAATCCGTGCTGGGTCGAGCGCTTCAACGTCCAGTTCCTGGGCTCGGTGGAGGTCCCGTACCACCAAGGGAACGGCATCCTGTGTGCAGCTATGCAGAAGGTGAGGCCTCGGGCTTGGCGGGGGGGGGAGGGGGTGTGTTTCTTTGACTAAGAGGGTCTTGTAGGGGGGCCTCAGCACTTCGCCTCCGTCTCCTCAGGCACCTCTTTTGTCTGTGGTCCACACACCCCATCCCCCGTGGCAAAGCAGGGACCCATGGCCACAAAAGCATTTCTAGAGCACTGGAGGGGGGGGTATGGGGAGGTCTTTAGGGCCCCTGAGAGGACGTCCCGTGCCCTCCTCCCCCTCCCAAGCCTCTTGCGGTCTCCCCCTGGCTCCGAGAGTAACTTCCAGGTGGCTTTTGGGGCTCTTTTGAACACGAAGCATCAACCGGGGGAGGGGGTCTGCCGGCCCCCCTCCCCCGTGCTCTGCCACCCCCTCATCCCACACCATAGGCTTGATTTGCCCTGCACCTGGGGACGTGTGTGTGTCGGGGGGGGGGCTTTCTGGCCTGCAAGCAGGGTCGAAATCCCTTTTATTTATTTTATTTATTTATTCGATTTATATCCCGCCCTCCCCGCATGCGGGCTCAGGGCGACTTACATCACTGGCACATTGCCGATAAAACCATATAACATTATAAAACATGACGGTATAGGATTATGAAAGATAGAAACATAAAAACCTAAGGTGCTATTAGTAATACAATTCCTATTCACGGTGGCATACTGAATATGTCTCCAACTGCTGAGTTCAATTCCGTGTCGTCCTGAGTCACTCGGTGTGATGAGCCAGACGTTGACATGTGAGGGCTGGGCTCGTTGATGGTATTAGTGGGGCGGCTCCTAATTGAAAGCCTGGCGGAAGAGCTCCGTCTTGCAGGCCCTGCGGAACTGTAGGAGGTCCCGCAGGGCCCTGATCTCTTCCAGGAGCTCGTTCCACCAGTAAGGAGCCACCACTGAAAAGGCCCTGGCCCTCGTCACAGCCAGCCTGGCATCCTTGGGGCCCAGGAGGGTCAGCCGATTCTGTGACCCCGACTGCAGTGCTCTCTGGGGTATATGTGGGGAAAGGCAGGTATGTCGGACCCTGGCCATATAGGGCTTTAAAAGTAAGCACCAGCACCTTGAAGCGAACTCAGTATGCTATTGGCAGCCAGTGCAGGGCCTTCAGCACAGGCCAGATGTGCTTTCATCTTGGTAAGTCCATCAACAGCCTGGCTGCGGCATTCTGCACTAGCTGCAGCTTCCGAATCTGTGACAAGCAATGCTCCCCCTAAGCTGTGGAGTCTTGTGAGCAGAAATTCTACTTAGTGAGCTACTGGCATTAAAGTTGTGAGCGAGTGATTTGGCCACTGCATAAATAAGTTTGCGCTGGAGCCATCTTTCCTGAGCTAAGGCAAAAATGTGTGAGCCGGAGGTTAAAAAACTGTGAGCTAGCTCACACTAAGCCAGCTTAGAGGGAACACTGGTGACAAGGGCAGCCCCACGTAGAGAGCATAGCAGTAGTCTAGTCTCAAGGTGACCGTCACATGGATCACTGTGGCCAGGCCGGCGCAGTTGAGGAAGGGAACCAACTGCCTAATCAGCCGAAGATGGTAAAAGGCCGACTTGGCAGTGGCTGCTACCTGGGCCTCCATTGTCAAGGAGGAATTCAGGAGCACTCCCAAACTCCTAACCTCCGGCACTGGCACCGGGAGTGGGGTCCCCACCCGCGCACCACCCCGACCCACACGCAGGACCTCCGTCTTCGCCAGATTCAGTTTCAGCCGACTCAGCCTGAGCCAACCAGCCACGGCCCGGAACGCCTGCTTTCAGAGCGGAGTCCCTTTTCTGGCCGTGCTGATCCGAGCAATGGTAACCCCGAGGCTTGATCATTGCCCCTCTGCATGGGGCAGCCCTTGAAGACAGTTCAGGACTCCCCTTCCCATCAATCAGGGGTGGGTCGCAGAGACCCCCTGCTGCCCGTCTGGTGACCCTCACCCTGGTCGCCTCTGGATTTCGGAGTCCGAAACAAGGTGCTCGTGCTGACCTACGAAGCCCTTTACCATCCAAGCCCCAGTAGGAGCAGCAGCAGGGAAGGGGCCGTGGCTCAGTGTTAGATCCTCCGCTTGAAATGCCGAAGGTCCCAGGTTCGATCCCTGACATCTCCAGTTTTTTAAAAAAGGACCGGGCAGGAGGTGATGGGAAAGGCCTTTCTCTGCCTGAGACCCCGGAGAGCTGCTGCCAGTCTGAGTAGACAATCCAAGACTCGATGGACCAAGGGGGGGGGGGGTCTGATTCAGTCGGTGGCAGCTTCTTGGGTGCGGGTTCAAATTTCCTCAGCACAGCAGCACTAAGGGGTTTATCCTCAACCCGACCAGGGGGTGTTCTGTGGCTCTGGGTTTCTCCAGAGCCCTTTCAGCTCTGTGGAGCAAGCTGCCTGTCCCTTCTGAGAGCCAGTTTGGTGTAGTGGTCAAGTGCACGGACTCTAATCTGGGAGAACCAGGACTCAGTCCCCACGCCTCCACTTGCAGCTGCTGGTGTGACCTTGGGTCAGTCACAAGTTCTCTCAGAGCTGTTCTCTCAAGGACAGTCCTCAAAAGAGCTCTCTCAGCCCCACCCACCTCACAGGGTGTCTCTTGTGGGGAGGGGAAGGGAAAGGAGTTTGTAAGCAGCTCTGAGACTCCGAGTGAAGGGCCGGGTATAAGTCCAATCTCCTCCTCCTCCCCCTCCTGTGCTTCTGGAGTCTCCCGATGGCTTCTGGAGACTGGGGGTTATTGGGGGTCAGGGGGCTGGGCTGGGCTGGCTCTGATCGAGCGGAAGAGCATCAGCTCAGCGTGCGGAAGGTCCCAGGTTCAATCCCTGGTGGCACCTCCAGTGACAAAGGACCAGGCAGCAGGGGATGGGGAAGGCCTCCCCCGGAGACCCCGGAGAGCAGCTGCCACCAGTCTGCATCGTGCCAGCCCTGACCTTGCTGGGCGAAGGGTCCGATCCAGTAAAGGGGGCTTCCTGTGGGTTCCTGGGCTGACTGTTTCAAAGCTCTAGGCTCCCTGGGCTTTTAATATGAATGTAATATGAAGGGGACGGCAAAGGATGAGATGGTCAGACAGTGTCATCGATGCAACGGACATGAAGTTGAGCCAATGCCGGAGGACGGCGGAAGACAGGAGGGGCCTGGCGTGAGGTGGTCCGGGGGGTCGCGGAGAGTCGGACTCGACTGTGCGACTGGACAGCAACAATACAAATTTTTATGAGTTCCCCTCCTGTAGCCTTAGTTGGCCGGAAGAAAGGTGGCTTTATGAGTATTTGGGGGGGCCAACAATGGGAGAGCTTCTAGTGTCCTGGCCCCACTGGTGGACCTCCTGATGGCCCCTAGTATTTCTGGCCACTGTGTGACACAGAGTGTTGGACCGGAGGGACCACTGGCCTGATCCAACATGGGCTTCTCTTATGTTCTTATGTCTGGGGCAAGGGATGCTCTGTCTTCTTGGTGCTTGGGGTGGTGGAGGCAACAGTCGGAGGGCTCCTAGTGTCCCGGCCCCACTGCTGGGCCTCCTGAGGGCCCCTGGTGTTTCTGGCCACTGTGTGACACAGAGTGTGGGACTGGATGGGCCTTTGGCCTGATCCAATGCTGGCTTCTCATGTTCTTATGAAATGAAGGATCAGAGAGAGGATTGGGATGGCTGGCTTCTTGGGGTCGGACTGCCCCTGCCGGGGGATGCTGCCTGTCCTGCTGGGGGCTGCTTGCTCTCTTTCTCTCCCCACCCCCCGTGGCACACATCAAATGCTGACCCCCCTGCCTCTGCCCCCCCGGAGGTGAGGGGACCCGCCCCCGGGGGTGAGGGCGGGGTGTGGGCGGGGCTTCTGCAGCCGAGCCCCACCTCTTTCCCCAGGAGGCCTGGGCGGGGTGGCCAGCTCCCCGGGTGTGTGTGGGGGGGGAGGGTCCCTGGAGATTTGCAGGGTGGGGACGGGGGGAGGCAGGGGGTGAGGAGGGGAGGGAGCTGAAGGTGGAGCACAGTGTCATAGAGTCCACCCCCACCCCCAGGCAGCCCTTTTCCCCAGGGGGTCTGAGCGCTTTGGCTGGAGATCCGTGGTCATTTGGGAGGGCGTGAGGTGCCACCTGGAGTCTGGCAACCCCAGACCCTGGGCAAGGTTGGTCTTATTTATTGAATTGATTGATTGGACTTCCAGCCCTCCCTCCCTCCCTCCCTCCCTGGCGCTGCAAGGCCCAGAGCCAGGTGCCACTTCGCCAGCAGCTGTGACGGGCATCCTCAGAGGTATAACACAGAGAGAGGGAGTACTCTCTGTGTCAAGGTGTCAAGGTGCCTTGTAAGCCGCCCTGAGCCCCATGGGGAAGGGCGGGGTATAAATTTAATAATAAATAAATAAATAAATAAGAAGAAAAAGGGTAGGCAGGTAATTTCTATCTACCCAGGAAGGTGGGGTAGGGCTGAGTCATTATCACGTAGGAGATCCCCAGGCTGTGAAACATGCTAATGGAGGAGCTTTCCTGAGGAGGTTCTTTTGCATATGGATTGTTTCCTCTGAGGATTATTTAAACAATTCCACACCGTAATAACCAGAGCTGAAACCAGATGGCGCCTTGGGCACTGACCACACAGTATCCAGGCGAGGTCGTGCAGCGGTGCCATTGCTAGAGCCGGCACACTGTGTGATGAGCGGCGGACCGCGGCGGGAGGAGAGCCGCAGGAGGCCAAGTTAGATGGAAGACCGCGCTGCCTCAACTGCATGCCCGGCAGAACATTTCGGGTTTACAGGCCCGGCAGGACTGCACCGGGTTCCACAGGGCTCGGGTCTCGTCCAGAAGGGCCTCCCACCAGGCTGGGGCTGGAGCCGGGAAAGCCCAAAGACCATTGCTTTGGGGGCCGCGGGCCGCTAGGAGGTGGTTCTTCATGGAGCGTAGAGCTCTCTGGGGGCGTGCCAGGAGAGACGGTCCCATAGATAGGTTTCCGTTTCCTCATAGCAGGCTTGATACTACAGGCACATGCACCGGGGGTGTGTGTGAGAGTGAGTTGTTGTTGTTGTTAAAATTTCTACCCCGCCCTCCCCACAAATGGGCTCAGGGCAGCTCACAAACAAGGGCACAGACTAAAAACAAACAATTTTACATAATAAAGTGCTCGATGCTGTTTAGTCATTGCAGGGCCTGGGGCGGCCGGGGGGCTCACCTTCTTCTTTGGAGGCCGTGGGGCAGTAGAAACTGGCTACAGTCCTGCAGCAGTCCGAGGGTCCTGTGGGCAGGGGGAGGGGGGTTCACAGTGGGACTGGGAGAGCTAATCCTGCTCTTCCCCTCCCCTCCAGGTGAGCTCCGGCCGAGCCCCCAGAAACAGGGGCTGAAGGGGGCAGGAGGAAACGGGCAGGGGGCACCCAGATGGGGCACCCAGAGGCGCTTGGCCTTTCTATCCAGGCCCGGTTTCCCTCCCCAAGCACTGGCAGCAGCCCCCGTGCCCGCTGGACTGGCACTGGTGACTGTGGGGGCCTTCTCAGCCGTCACGGCCGCTGCTTGGAGCCCGAGAAACAGGAGTGCAGGGAGTGCCATGGTAGCGATGTGTGGAATTGTCACCCCTCACCCATGAGGGGCAGGAGGAGGGGGGGCAGGTGGGGGACCTGGGATCCCTGCCCAGGATGTGCAGGAGGGGGAGGTTTCAGTGCGGCCGTGGGGGGGGGGGGCGTTCTTATGGAGTATTAATCTGGATGGTGGAAACCAAGCCGGATTGTGAAGAGTTCCTGGAAGATGTCTCCAAATTGGGCAACTTTGTGAGAAAGGGAGCAGGCACGTGGACAGCGATGAACTTGTATACCTGGACTTTCGAAAGGCTTTTGACCAGGTACCTCACCAAAGACGCTTGGAGTATACTTAGCAGTCACAGGAGAAGAGGGCGGGTTCTCTTTTCGATGAAGAAGGGGTTAAATGACAGGAAGCAAAGAGGGGGAATCAGTGGATAGTTCTCACAGTGGAGGGAAGTCAGCCGCGGGGGTCCGATACTGGGGCCAGTCTTCAAGTATCGGAAGGGCTGTCATGTAGAAGGTCTATTCTCTCTTGCTCCGGATCTCAAGGCCAGATCTAATGGGCGGGAATTACAAGGGGGTCGTTACCGGCTAAATATCAGGAGAAACTCCCTAATGGTAAGAGTGGTTAAGCAGTGGGACAGGCTGCCTCGGGAGCTGGTGGGTGCTCCTTCGCTGGGCGTTTTCAAGCGGAGGCTGGGCGACCCTCTTTCAGGTACGTTGTAGGGCTGTCTTTCAAGCTATGCTCCTGCAGGGGGCTGGACTAGGTGACCTGCAAGATCCCTTCCAACGCTAACGTTCTATGATTCTATGATTCTATGATCTGGAACGGGGGGTGAATAGCGTAGTGGTCAGTTTTGCAGGTGACACCAAATTATTCAGGGTGGTGGAAACCAAGGCTGATTGTGAAGAGCTCCAAGGGGACCTCCACAAATTGGGTGAGTAGGCGACAATGTGGCAGATGAGGTTCAGTGTTGGTAAACGTAAGGTGATGCACACTGGGACCCCCCCCCCCCAAAAATCCCAACTTCTAGTCTAGGCTAGCAGGGTCTGAACTTGTGGAGACTGAGAGGGGGAAAGATCTTGGGGTCGTAGTGGGGAGAGCTCGATGAAAGTGTCAACCCAGCGTGCCGCAGCAGTGGAAAAGGCAAACGCTGTGTTAGGGATTGTTAGGAAGGGGACTGAGAATAAAATGGCCGACATTAGAAGGTCCCGGTATAGAGCTATATAGAGCTGCGGTGGCTCAAGTGGTTAAGACGCTGAACTGCAGGCTGCGGAAGGTCAGTAGTTCAGCAGTTCAAGACCCGGGTGCCGCATGATGGAGTGAGCTCCCATCTCTGGCCCCAGCTCCTGCCAACCTAGCAGTTCGAAAGCAAGAAATTGCAAGTAGATAAATAGGTACCACTTCAATGGGAAGGTAACAGCGTTCCGTGCGCCTTGGTGTTTAGTCATGCCGGCCACATGACCACGGCAACGTCTTCGGACAGCGCTGGCTCTTCGGCTTTGAAACGGAGATGAGCACCGCAACCCTAGAGTCGGATTCGACTGCCTTTCGAGCAAGGGAACCTTTACCTTTACCTATAGAGCTATGGCATGGCCTCATTTGGAATACCATGTCCAGTTCTGGTCACCATATCTCCAAAATGTCCTTGCAGAGCTGGGGAAATGCAGGGGAGGGCGACCACGATGGTAGGGGGAAAGGCTACAGAGTCTGGGACTTTTCAGTTTAGAAAAGAGATGACACGGCGGGGGGATAAGATAGAAGTTTATAAAACTATGCACAGTGGGGAGATAGTGGACAAAGAGACATTTTTCTCCCTCTCCCAAAATATGAGAATTCGGATCTATTCTCTCTTGCAGAAGGAAATCCTTTACATGGAGAGCAATCAAAATGTGGAATGCCCTGCCAGAGGAAGTTGTGATGGTCACAGAAAGAAACAGCTTTAAAGGGGGATTAGATTCACAGAGGAGAGGTCTATCAGTGGCTACTAGCCATGGTGACTCAATGGAATCTCCACGTTGAGACAGTCAACCTCTGCATTCCATAGCCAGGAGGCAACATCAGGGGAAGGCCTCGGCCTCTCTGCCCTCTTGCTGGCCCTCCAGAGGAACTGGCTGGCCACTGTGTGGGACAGGAGGCTGGACTAGATGGATGACTGGTCTGATCCAGCAGGGGCTCTTCTGTTCTTATCAGGGGAAGGTCTTGGCCTCTGTTCCCTGCTGGACCTTCATAGGAACTGGTTGGCCCCTGTGTGAGGCAACGTACTGGACTAGATGGGCCCTCACTAGTCTGATCCAGCAGGGCTCTTCTGGTGTTCTTATCAAGGGAAGGCCTCGGCCTCTCTGCCCTGTTGCTGGCCCTCCAGAGGGACTGGTTGGCCACTGAGTGAGACGGGACGCTTGAACAGATGGACCCCCCAGGGCCTGATCCAGCAGGGCTCTTCTTTTTCTGATGTTCCCTGACTGCCTCCTCTCTTTTCCAGTTTGAGCGCTGCAGCCATTTCTTCCAGATGAAGAACATCTCCTTCTGCGGATGCCACCCCCGCAACAGCTGGTGAGCTGCCCCCCCCCCCGCCGCTCAGGGCTACCCTGGCCCAGGACAGAAGGGCTCACCCGTTCTTTTCCTTACCGCTGTGGATCTATGGGCCTTTCGCTTGTGGGTTCCCCACCGCCGGCCTCTGTTGCCGACAGTTCCTGCTGTTGGTCCTGTAATTGGTGAGGTGGGAAGCAGGCCTTAACCAAAGCCCACAGCCAGTCTCTGGTTGAGGTGGGGCTTGAACTCACTTCTCCAGCAGTCGTGCGCTGTGCCTGCCAGGCCGGGTTCCTTCTCGGAGGCTTGGTGGCCAATGTGCTTCCAGCTCTTCATCTCCATTTCCCCAGGGGCAGTTTGCATGCCCAGGTCCTCTCAAGCCACCCCGCCAAAGGTCTGGTGGCCACTCCCGGAAGACGCAGCCCCCATGGGCAGGGGGGGTGGCCTCGGAGACTGCGCCGTGTGTGCCGTGGTCATCCAGGGGTCACGGGTGAAGCTTCAGTCTCTCTCGAAGGAAGGGGGGCACTGAGGCCGTCTTGCCCGGGGCTCCACTTCCCCTGCCCTGGAAACCGAGTCCTGCCCTGCCCGTCTCAGAATCCCTGCCCTTCCCTTGCAGCTATTTCGGCTTCATCACCAAACACCCCGTCCTGAGTCGCTTTGCCTGCCACGTCTTTGTTTCCCAGGAGTCCATGCGGCCCGTCGCGGAGTGCGTCGGGTGAGTGAGGGGCCATGGAGGGGGGGGAACATTGACAGCTGGGGTGGGTGGGAACCTGCAGCCCCCCCCGGATCAGCCTGAAGGCTGCCGGCATGCCGCTTGCCCACGCTGAGGGTGCGTGCACGGCAGACGGGGTTAGCCCAGTGGGACACTGCGAGCCCTCTCCCCCCCAAGGACTGGGCACTTTGCAAGGAGGTTCAGCGTGGGATCTCTGGGCAGCGTGGGATCTCTGGCACCTGTGTCGTCTCTCGGTGGGGCCAGTGGCTGAGAGGCCCTCCAGTGGCCAGTGCAGCACAGCACCTGCGTGCGAGGCTGCTAGGAGTCCGTCACCACATTGGCAGAGCTTGCTTGGGGCGGGGCTCTCCGGCCCTCTCTAGGAGCCAGCTCCGGACTGCGGGGAGGAAGAGATGGCTGCGTGTCCGGTGCAGATGTCTGGTGGGCATGGCTGCAACCGCCGCCCACTTTCTGCCCAGGTCCTGCTGGGAAGTGCCCGACTGTGGCCTAGGCGCCCGTGAGGAGGCCTGCGCCTCTCCTCCCCTGCAGTGGGCTCCCCTTGTCTGGGGCTGCCCGCTTGGCACGGAGCGGGGTGGAGCTGAGCCTGCCCTCACGGCAAGGCTTCCCGGGTGCCCCGAAGGACGGACTCTGCACGAGAGGCCCTTCTAGGGCCCAGATGCATCGTCCGTGGGAGCAGCACGAGCCGTGGGGGCCAGACCCGATCCCAGCACCCGCTGCCCCTCTGGCTTGAGAAACGCCTGCAGGTCTGGAAGGCATGGGGGGACCTGAGAGGGGTAAAGGGCCACATAGAGCCCGCCCTCCAAAGCAGCCGTTTCTTCCCGGAGAACGGGTCTCTGTCCTTTGGAGGGCAGTTGGAATTCCCGGGGATTCCCCAGGCCCCACCTGGAGGCTGAAGCCACCCGAGCTGCAGTGTGAGGAGAGTCTGGTAACAAATAAATATGCACTGCAGAAACCTTTTAGCAAACTCATGTGCTCTGTTTATGGCCATCATTTGGTAAAGTGCAGAGTGTCTCATTATTTCGTCCTAGTCAGGTATCAATATTCATTACATTCAATAGGCAATAACATTCAATACATACGGATTGCTAACTACCAGACAATGTTGCATCAGTGTTTTAAAAGTCAAGCCCCAACAGGAGTTTCTAGAATTATAAGCCCGCTTCTCCTTGCATGAAGTCGTCCAAAAGGGGGGCAGCCTTCTTGTATGGATGCTTTTTGCCGGTCCTACAAAAGACACATGATGCAGCTAACACTCATGGACGGAGTACTCCTGTCATTCTCAAAGCTGCATGTATTGAATGTTATTGCTTATTGCTAAAAGGTTTTTTGCAGTGTATATTTACTTGTTACTAGACCCAGCTGTGGGTTGGCCACCCCGGGCCGAGGCCCCGCCCCTCCTGCCCCAGCCTCCTCTCTGCCCCCCCTTGTGGACCGTATGCCCCTCTTTTCTCTTGCAGCCGCGCCTTTCAGGAATACTATCAGGAGCACCTGGAGTTCGCTTGCCCCACAGAAGACATTTACCTGGAGTAGGGGGGGGGAGGCGGCGCCCCTCCTGCTTCCGCACCCCCTTCGGTGCCCCAGGACCCTGCGCTCTGCCAGGCGGGGCCGCCCCCCCGGGGCCGCCCTCCTTTGCGCCAGCAGCACCTTGCAGCAGCAGCGGGGCCGTCGAGATGGGAGAGAGGTGCCCCCACCCTGCCCAGCGGTCGCACCCTGTCCTTTCCTCTCCCTCCCTCCCTCCCTTCCCTCCCCCGGAAAGCTCTGCAGCCTTTGCCCGGTGGCCCTGGGAGGAAGGCCTGGGGCTGGAGGGTGTCTTTGGGGCCCCTCCCTCATTGGAAGAGGCTGGGCTGGGAGTCGATCTCCTCCTCCTCCCCCCTTGTAGCGCCTCTGCAGCCTGAACTCCTCCTCCTCCTCCTCCTCCTCCTCTGGGGGTGGGAAGAACATCACCTCCCCCCCCGCCTGTATGCTTGCCCAGTCCCCAGTGGGGGGAGGGAGGGAGGGGCAGGGCTCTTCGCCCTTCCTCCCCTTCCCGGCCTCCACGCTCTCCGGGTGGTCTCCATCATCCCAGGGGTGGGGTGGGGTGGGATGAGGGGTGTCCATCTGTGCACACATCCAGTCCTGGTCCGGGGGTGGTGATGGTGGAGGACTGGCCCTCTGTCCCAGGCCTGCAGCTAGGTCCCCGCTGAGTCCGGCAGGCATCCAGGGCTCCCCACCGCCACGTCATGCCCTCCTGTCCCAGGGGGGTCGGCAGCCAAAGGGCGCCCCGCCCGCCCACTTTCATGGCTGGGGGTGCTGGTCTGGCCCCCTCCTCCCCTCCCTCCCCCCCGCCCTGCAGTGCCTCCTTTGCTTGCCCGCCCCGCCTGTCTCCACCCATTCCTTGCTGACTGACTCTCGCTCACAGCTCTCCGTGTATGTACCGATATTTATCTGTAACTTTCGCCAAGCGGCGGCGGCGGCAGCGCAGAGGCCCGGTGGGCCAAGGCCTCGGTCCAGGGCCTCCCTCCTCACTGCCCTGTCATGGAGTTGGTCTTTCAATAAAATATATGCTTGGTGTCACCCTCAGGCCTCCGGTGATTGCTGCGGCTGGCGGGGGTGGGGTGGGGGATCGGGGCCTCGCAGGACACCGGAACACCCTCCCCTCCCCAGTGTGGGAGGGTGTCCTTCGAAAGATGAGGCCGGGAACGTCTGTCTTGCAGGGTGGAGAACGTGGAACTGGAGGACTTTCCAGACCCCCCTCCGGGTGGGCAGTCCGGCTACTCCGAGGTTCAGCGTAGTCCTGCCCAGGACAGCGGGCGAGTCAGGGGGAGGCAGCTCTTTCGGGGGAGGCTTAGCACCTGTAACAGCGTTCCGTGCGCCTTGGTGTTTAATCATGCCGGCTACATGACCACGGAAATGTCTTCGGACAGTGCTGGCTCTTCGGCTTGGAAACGGAGATGAGCACCGCAACCCTAGAGTCGGTTTCGACTGGCTTTCGAGCAAGGGAACCTTTACCTTTACCTTTAGCACCTGTAAAGTACTGGGTTCGCCACATGGAAGACTCGGACTACGACGTGCGTTCAGGCACGTTTATTGCACTTCACACAAGAACTGCAAAACGGCCCTGCAAGGCCAACTATACACACACACACGCGGTACCCCCTTAGTCCCTTTGGAGGGTTTGAATTTCCCGCCAAAGTGCTATAGGGGGATACCAGGATCCTCAGTCCTTTTGTTTAGAGGGAGCTAAGCTCCGTCCTGTAACCGTGGACCCCTAGTGGCGGTCGGCATACACAACACCCTTAGCAACAGTTTCTGTCCGGTCAGCTGGCCTCTCAAAGCACCTGCAGGTGCCCTTTGCACCCAGAGCTTTCTGCTTCTGGCCTTGAATGCCAAGGGAGTGGCTTGCAGGTGTCTGGCATGTTCCTAGGGATTTCTTTGCCACAGAAGGCAGGGGCTGTGGTTTTGTTTGAAGGGGGGGGGAGGCAGGATGAAGAAGAAGAAGAAGAAGAAGAAGAAGAAGAAAAGAAGAAGAAGAAGAAGAAGAGATTGGATTTATACCCCACCCTTCACTTGGAGTCTCAGAGCGGCTTACAAACTCCTTTCCCTTCCCCTCCCCACAACAGACACCCTGTGAGGAAGGCAGGGCTGAGAGAGCTCTTGACAGAAACTGCTCTTTTTCAAGGACAGCTGTGCCAGAGCTTGTGACTGACCCAAGGTCACACCAGCAGCTGCATGTGGAGGAGTGGGGAATCAAACCCGGTTCTCCCAGATTAGAGTCCATGCACTTAACCACTACACCAAACTGGATGCGGGAGGAGGGGGTCGCAACCCTTGCCTCATCTCCCTACTGAAAATGAGGGTCCCCCAATCTGTGTTTGGCCCCAGTGGGGCATTCATCTCCAGCTGCAGCCTGTAGTCTGTGCCATTCTTCATGGCATAGGAGGCTCACCTTCAGAGCCTCCCGGCTGCCAGAGTGCACATCTGCCTCGCCCCCCAGGAGCTATTGCACCATTCATCTCCCCCCTCCCCCACTGTTCCCCCCTCCCCCACCATTTCCTCTTTCCCTTTCCTGAAAGCCTCCATAGCCTCTCCTCTTTTTCTGCTTCCTTCTCTTTCCCACCCGCCAGCCAACCTGCTTTTATCTGCCCCCTGTCTCCTGCTTTCCCTCCTTCACTTTCCCTGGCAGCATCCATCCAGGAAAACGATGGCCAAATTGCACAGTGCCGGTAACCAATGAGTCTGCAAGGACTTGCACGGGGCAGCTCACTTTCCCCTGTATCACTCTCCCCACACGATTTCCTCTTTTTCCCCTCGCCCTGGCAGCTCCTATATCTTCACCTTTCCCTTCTCCCTTCTCTCCTTCCCACTCACCAGCCAATCTACTTTTCATCTGCCCTCCATCTTCAGCTATACTGACTATTTACTTACCTCATTTATACCCCACCTTTCCCCCCAGTCAGAAACCTGAATAGACCAGTTTCACCTGGGTTGGTCCGAGCTCGGGAGCCAAGCAGAGTTGGAGCTCTGGAGGCCGCTGGCATCCAAAGGCCTTGAGGCAGGACTTCCCCGCGTCCCAAGCATTGCTCTTCTCCTCAGCAAGGAGACAGGAGGGTGCTGGAGAAATGGGGCGCCTCTCGGGATGAACCATCCCATTCTGGTCAAACAGCCGTTCTCTCAGGCTCCTCAGGCAAGAGGCCAGCAAAGACAGCGGCAGCTTTTCCTTCCTTTCCCCACATCAGACTTGCTTCACGCTCCGTTACGGGCACTGAGCGCGACACCCTGGCACCAAACAACGACATACTGACGGTCAATGCATTTTCTCCCTCTACCTTTCCAACCTCACGTTCCTCACAGGCTGCCGATAACAGGTAAATTTAACGCCTCTTTTTAATATGATAAACTAGTCTTTTGGCTCCAATCAACTGAAACTTTTTGGACTGGAACAAGCTGGATTCCAAACAGATTATTTGGCCATTGGTCACTGTAACTCTTTGCTCTTGACAAAAATGCCTCCAGAAAGAGGAGTTCTGTTGGCAGCTTCCAGGGGAGAGACTATGGGTCAAGCTAGAAAACTCTTCAGTTGGTCTGAAGCAAGAGAACAGAGTCCGGTGGCATGGACACGAAAGCTTATGACAACGGAATTCTACTTTATTGGTCTTAAAGGTGCCCCACTGGCCTCCAACTTCCTTCAACTGTGGCTAGTTAAACAAATTACACTTAGGTACAAAAAAATCAAAGGCACAGATATAGAATGGGATGGTGAGAGGGTTGGAATCCAGGTCTTAGGAGGAAAGGCTGAAAGAGTTGGGTCTGTTCAGCCTGGGAAAGAGAAGGCTTAGAGGGGACAGGATTGCAGTCTTCAAATGCTCAGAGGGCTGTCATGTAGAAGATGGAGCGGATCTGTTCTCTCTTGCTCCGGATTGCAAGACTAGATCTAATAGGTGGAAATGACAAGGGAGTCGTTACCGGCTAAATATCAGGAGAAACTTCCTGACTTTAAGAGTGGTTGAGCAGTGGAACACTCTGCCTCGGGAGGTGGTGGGTGCTCCTTGGCTGGACGTTTTCAAGCGGAGGCTGGACGACCATCTTTCAGGTATGTTGTAGGTATGTAGGGCTGTCTTTCAGCTATGCTCCTGCAGAGTGCAGGGGGTTGGACTAGATGACCTGCAAGGTCCCTTCCAACTCTAACATTCTATGATTCTATGAAATGTATTCTAAACTTTCTGGCCAGATACATGCTGGTACTGAAAGACAATTAACTGATGAAATCCCCTTGCATAAGGGGGTGAGGTGGGATGTTTACTGGCCCCACTCTTATTTAATCTCTAACTATACGATGTGGCCCCTCACCGGTCCAGTAACATAAGCCATGCGCTGGTGCTGGTGGGACAGACATTATGTTGTCAGAGGCTTTCACAGCTGGTGTTCATTAGTTGTAGATTTTCCAGGCTGTATGGCTGTGGTTATACTACAGTGACCACATACTACAATGCCAAGACCACAGCCATACAGCCCAGAAAACCTACAACAACTGAGGGACGGACATTGCCACTTTTGCTGTACGCGGCCGATATCCTTCTGTTATCATGCACTCTGCTTGGTTTACGTAAACAATTAAAAGCATTTAAGGAATACTGTGTCAAAGGATTGGTAATAAATACTCAAAAATTAAAAATATGGTATTTACTAAATCCCTCCTGGAGAAGACTCTTGAGAGTCCCGTGGACTTCCAGGAGATCAAATCAGTCAACCCTAAAAGAAATCAGCCCTGATTGTTCCCTGGAAGGCCAGATAATGAAACTGAAGCTCAAATACTTTGGCCACCCAATGAGAAGGGAGCACTCACCGGAGAAGAATTGAAGAAGTACGGTAATTGAAGACGGACTAACCATGGCTGACCCTTCTTAGCTTCTAAGATCTGGAGAGATCTCCATGGCAGGGCAGTATATTATACTCCAGGCCGATGAATAGATTCTTTTGAACTATGGTGCTGGAGAAGACTCTTGAGAGTCCCCTGGACTGCAAGAAGATCCAATCAGTCAATCCTAAAAGAAATCAACCCTGACTGTTCCCTGGAAGGCCAGATAGTGAAACTGAAGCTCAAATACTTTGGCCACCAAATGAGAAGGGAGCCCTCACTTGAGAAGACCCTGATGCTGGGAAAGATTGAAGGCCAAAGAAGACGGGGACGGCAAAGGATGAGATGGTTAGACAGTGTCATCGATGCAACGAACATGAAATTGAGCCAACTTCAGAGGACAGCGGAAGACAGGAAGGCCTGGCGGGAGCTTGTCCATGGGGTTGCAAAGAGTCAGACTTGACTGTGCGACAACAACAACAAATCCCTCCCAGTATGTAAGTGGTTCCTAAATGGACAACCAATTGAA